AAAGCAATGTTTCTAGTTTTGTAGATGAAATGATTGACAGTGATCCCTGAATTTGAATTTGACCTCTAGCTAAACCTTCCATTAGCAGAGGGACACTCAAATAATACACTCAGGTCTCTAAAGTGAGATAGCTCAGAGGACTAAAGCGCCTGCTTAGTCAACCTTAGGCAAATGAATGGACCATGGTTCAATCCCCAGCACCACATGCCGCCTGAGCCCGCCGAGAGAGGAGAGGAGAGGAGAGGAGAGGAGAGAAGAGAGAGAGAGAGAGAGAGAGAGAGAGAGAGAGAGAGAGAGAGAGGAGAGAGAGAGAGGAAAAGAAACACCTCAAAAAAAGTTACAGCTAAGTTGTTACTTGACTATGAAACCTACTAATTGTTAAGAAAGGAGGCTTAAAATAGAAAAGGCAAAAAACATGTTGGTAGTAAGCTGGAACTAAATGCTCGCATTACTTGAGCTAAATCATAAAATGGTAAGAGAAAGAAGGCAGAAGAAAAACATGCAAAGATTTCATCTGGAAGGAAGTTCTATTCTTCATGATGATAGAGGAAATGCATGGTCACGCGTGACTGCATACGTGTGTATCTGTGAACCTACTTAAGTATGGATATACACACATGTACATATCGACACATGAATTCATACATCAATATTATAGTTCATTCTCTGTATTCAAGGATTTCACCAGCCACAGGTTCAACCAACCCTAGATTGAAAATCTTTTTTAAAAACTGTCTATATTGAACATGTACAGGCTCTCTTATTGTCTATATTCCCTAAACAGCTCATTTAAGCAGCTACTTGCACTACAGTCACATTGCATTACTCATTGTGAGAGAGGCTGGGCTTGTGGCTGTATTTGAATCGATCATCCCCAAACATGGAGGGACAACCGCATTATTATTATTACATACAGCTAGGTTGGGTGGGAATAGTATAGGCAGTCAGACACGGCTGGATTCTCTACAGAGCTGAAACAAAAGGTTAAAAAAGGGGCTGGGGAGATGGCTCAGTGGAATAAGCACTTCCCTGGCAAGCGCAAGGGTCTGAGTTCAATCTCTGGTTCCGCAAAAAAAAAAGGTTAAAAA